CCTATTAAACTTGACTGTCTGAATGGAATATTGGCACATCTTTGACTTTGTATCACTCTGTCCCCCAAAGGACTTTAAAAAAAAAAAAATATGAGAATGATAATATTTGCTAATTCTTATGGAACACACACACACACACACACACACACACACACACACACACACACACACAAAAAAAAATTAAACATTTCAACTTTTGTTGGGCACTTTGACATGGGGTAATAGTTAGCAAGCTCGTGAATTCGATCCTCACTGGATGCCCCCATATTTTCGACTGTGTGCCATATCTAAGCTGTTTTTTCACTTTTTTTTTTTTTTTGTAAATGGCGAATTAAAGACATCTTGAGGATGTTGGGTCAAAGAACATTTTTCCTTGAGTTTGGTAAACATTCACTTAAAATACCAATTAAAAAAAAAAAAAATGGCATTATGAAGGATACTTGGTCAGATTAGCTTGACTTATCTTGAATGGTACATTATTTGAACTGTTGTCCTCATCTTTATTGCCATATTTACAATGTTTCGGCTGTTATATGCTCTGGCTTTCTTCAGGTGATATTTGTTGGAATTTTGAACTGAACCCATTATTTTATCCATAGGGGTAGATCCTCTGAAGAACTTTGGGGCATGCAATGACGGAAAGGTTGCGTATATGACAATAAAAGACTCTCTCTTTTTTATATATATATATATATATATATATATATATATATATGTGTGTTATAAAATCACTACAAAAATATCTATAGTATAAGAATAGAATAGACAGTGCTCGGCAGTAATAGGAGCTAATATCAATCATATACTTGGGGTGTATATATATATATATATATATATATATATATATATATATATATATATATATATATATATATATATATATATACACTTATAGTAATTATTTTTTTGCTTAGCTAAAATGGTCTGGTTTATTTTTGTGCTGATATTTACTCCCTATAGTAAATATGATTCATGTTTATCAGTATTGGGAATTATTTTGTATGTATTCTGTTTGATATAAACTTAGATTTATTTTTATATATATATAATTTTTTTTTTTTTTTTTTTTCTTATACATTGTTTGTGTATTTATAATCGGGGACTTTCTTTTTGTTACATTCTGTATTTGACTCTGAACTTCATTTTGAGGAAACATAAGCAAAGGAAAATAGCAAGTCCTTTAACCTGACCAGTCTGTGTAAATGGATAGAGGAACAAATACCACAAAGAGGGATTATAAAGGAGAAAGGAAGCAGTGGAGGGTCATGATTGCATCTTGAGAACACTGAATCATACTTTTAAATATGAACTCTGTTAATTTGTTTAGTGAAAGAGGTTGACATTTTTAAAATGCCTCATTTGTCAATTCATCTGGTTGTGGTAATGTGATGTATTTGTTACAAATACATGACACATCTCTGTAAAATAAAAGTAAATGCTCAAACATTTTAGGATTGAAAATGCTGTGTGCATCATTGTTGATGTAAGCTTTGAAGTGGAGTTGAATTGCTTTCAGCATTTGGGATCACAGATTTTGTTAAAAAAAAACATGAATAGTACTTAACATTTTTTGTACAAGTAGTATTGGGTGAATTCTCAAAGATGGTTTGTGGTGAAAATTTAACTTTATGGAAGAATTTTTTTTTGTTTTGTTTGTTACTGAGAATCAAAACCAATTTAATTAAAAAAAAAAAAAAAAAAAAAATTATATACAGGGTGATTGAAAAGCAACTCCCCATTTTAAAATAATTATTAATTATAATTTTTACAAGAAATGGATTAGCATGTTTTATTTAAAATTTGATATGGGCACCAGGTTTTGCTACCAACTTCTCAAGATGCCCAGGAATTGCGTCAACTGATTTCACCAGAAAGTCTTGTGCTATAGAAGACGTAACTTGTATTTGCCTGTCAAGTTCTTCCAAAGTCTTCGTTTGGTATATAACATTTGGTTCTTTAACCAACCCCAAAGGGGTGGGGGAAAGGACTCCTGGCTGGCCACTCATACATAAAATACCTAGTTACTTATGTATGTATGTGTGTGTAAAGTTTTTTCTATTTTTTTTTTTTTTTTTTTTTTTTTTTCCCCAAAAACTGTTCCTCACAATATGCTAGAGAAACATGCAGTATCTATGAACACAAAAGGTCTATATACATAATTTATCAAATGCACTAGTCATACACAGAAATAAATACAACTAAAATTTTGATCTAAAAAATGTCACGCTTATCAAAAGAGAAAGTAGTTAACTCAGAAGGAAAATTCTCGAGTGTGCCATTATCAAATCTTACTAAAATATAAATTTACACCCTGGTTTCTTTCCTATCTCCCCTTTTCTGAAAGAATTATTACTTTTCCAATCCACTATACACAACCACAAAATGTTTAAAAACCAAAAGAAAACTTAAATCCATTACCTCCTGTCTTTGAGGATGTAACCCCTACATTCATTCATTCATTCATTCCAAACCATAACAATTTGATCATGATCTAAACAATATTCATTTATTAGAAAATTTCTTTTTATGCTTACTTTTGTTTTACCATACTTAGAATTAGGGCACTTTGTGTCATCCACATGTTTTGACTGACCTTTCAACCACCTGATGAATACTCATGAATGTTCTCAAATTTAAAATCCTTGATAAACCAATGACAGCCTTGCTCTTGTATCTAAACAGATGCAACAAAATACTTACTTACATTTGCTTGATAAAGCTCCACAGAGGATGAAACATGTTGACTAAGAATAGTTTTCCTCGTCTTGAGACAGTGATTTTCAAGGTACATGAAAATTTGAAAGTAAAAATAAAAAAATAATTTTTTTTTTTTTTTCTTTTGTAAAACTGGAAAATTACAACTGAATTTTATTAGAATCTAACAGAAACAGAGGTTGGGTAATGGAATGTTGAAATGTCTTTAAAACAAGACTTTTCTTTCCCCAAATACATAAATAGCTCCTTTTTACTCTTATATCAGTAAGTTCCTGAAAGTTAGAATGTTTCCCTAAGTGTTGTAAGCATGGCATACTTAGTGTCTGTTTATTTAATAGCGAATTATAACTTAAGACCATATACTGCAGTATACAGCTATCATTTGTTTTCTACTAAATCTGATAAGTTTTTTTTTTTTTTTTTTTTTATTATTATATATAGACTAATATCGAGTCAGTTAACCATGAAAACATGACAGTGATATTTCAATGAATTTTATACTTGCATTCAGAGAACTCTTCCATGATGAAAGAGGGCAATAAGCAAAAAATATATCTAAGGAAAAGAAACATGAAAGTCTAAAGTGAAATCAGTTCGAGCCAAATTGAACAAAGCAGCAAGACCAGCTGGAATTGTAATAGATACTGGCAGTTTTAGATGATTTTGGTATTGACAAAATTTCAAAAATTTAAGTTTGGATCTTTTTTTTTTTTTTTTTTTTATCAAATCTGGAGGTACCTATTATTATATTGCTTTTTAGTTCCTCCCTCCCTCATAGTTCATCTTAAATAACCCACAGTGGTTGATATGCCATAAAACCCAAACAAACATAGTTCATCTGCCAGAATTTGAACTGTCATGAGGTATGTAATCATTAAAGTGAATGACATAACATTCTCTGAACAGCTAGTTTAAAAATAATATCCAAAAGTATGAATTGTTCTACCTACCCATGTAAAATAAAAGGAGTGGCTTTATAGATAAACAAATAACTATATGGTATACTATGTTTATATCTATGGTTATTTTGCTTTTCTGTCGAGGGTCAATTAATATCTGCCTGATACCTGGCTGTTTTGAGCTGGGGCTAGGTACATTTTTTATGATAAAGAAACATGAAGTCAGGAGAGAATTGAGGAAGTTATATAAAGACTGGTAGGATAGATATATATATATATATATATATAATTACACACACACGATTAAATATAGATTGGCATATGCCAATAAGATTAAAAAACAAATGGGAAACGTTTATCAATCTAACGCTTTGCTTTTATTAAGTCTTCATCAGAGACTGAGATATGGAGAAAAAAAATGTTAGATTGATAAACATTTCCTATTTGTTGTTTATCTTGTGTGTGAGTGGATGTGTAACCTGATGATCACAGGAGCATGAACCTTAAGTAACGTCCAAACTTTGTCACTTTCTGAGTTGACAGACTGAAGTGTTTTTGCTTTTTTGATGACTGAGGCATAGGACACTGTTTGCTACTGTTTGGGGAGGGTGTCTGTCTCCTTTTGGTTGTTTTTTTTTTTTTTTTTTTTTTTTTATCTTAGCTTTGTTTCACCCCTCCCCAATTTTCTGGTATGTTTGGGTTTTTTTTTTTTTTCTAGCTTTATACATATTTTTGTTTTCTTTTGGTCACACCAACAATTTGGATTATTGTTATATATATATATATATATATATATATATATATATATACACACACAAATTGTTGGGGTGACCAAAAGAAAACAAAAATATATAAAGCAAGAATAAAAAAAAAAAAGTACCAGAAAAGGGGTATTAACAAATCTAGTGGGCATTGGAACTCGGCTCTCCAATTTTGATTCAGAACCATTAACCATTATGCCACCTACACATCCACACATATATTACCTAGTAGTCACCCATCAGTTACTGACCAGGCATGACATTGTTTAACTTTGGTGATCATATGCCTGGGATATATTTGTGTGTGTCTATATGTGTGTGTAAGAGAATGAATTAGTATTTGACATGGGCACATTCATGGGTAGTGTCAAAATTATTATACTGGCAAATAAAACTTAACTGTGCAGATTTGGTCACATTTTGTTGACCAGATCATTTGGCTGGTTCCGAGTTGTACTCCTCTTAAAATTCTTCCCAACCAAGGGTATAGAGCCCAGTCTGCCCTGCAATTAATTAAACTTGTAGCTAGAGAAGAGATGGATTCATACCTTTCCTCAAGTGTATTTATACAAAAGTGAACATGACTGCACAAGCCATTATTTATTCTACTACCCACACATACAAGCTTACAACACCTGGTATTCCCAAGCGGTCACTCATCTAGTTACTGATCAAGCTTGATATTGCTTAACTTAGGTGATTGTATGGGAACCACTGTTTGAATGTGACCTGACCATAAGCCCTATAATTATTAGCCAACTTACAAAATCTTGTCCATATTGGTTTTTGGACATTATAATTGATGATAATGTTAAGTGTATATGTGGCTCTGTCAGTCTGAACTAAAGTTAGTAAATATCTATATGGATATACATTGTGATAAACATGCAAATGAGTGAATAAAAAATGTGTGTATACTTTTTTTTTTTTTTTTATAAAGTTACTTACAGAGTATGCTGTACTGTAAGGCGTGTTAATGGTTAACAGTAAATGAACTTGGTAAGAAGTTAAAATTTTTGTAACAATCACATTGTGTCTTTAGGAACATTATGAATTCATCTCTTCAGGTTTTAGGTTAAAGAGCTTAGTATACTGGGTGCTTAAGCTTTTGATTGGCAGCAAATCTAGAACAATCTGAAATCAAAACCATATTATAGGCATAGGAAACCAATCTGTTAAGAACAATCATAGCTGTTCCTGAAGGGATGTTATTTAAAGTGGGTGATGCCTTAAGAATCTCAAGTTTCTGGAGAAAGACAAAAAGGGGAGATGAAAGATTCTGTGTCTCCTTCCTAATGGTGAAGGATTGCCTGCTTTAAAAATCGGCATTTGATTTTTCTACAAGTTCTGATTTTTTTTTTTTTTTTTTTTTTTTTTTTTTTTTTTTTAACAGGTTTCAACTGTAAAACTGGTCCATATGTGAATTATTTTTGACAGATTTATTACGGATTTTATATTTGTTTCCGGGGTGGGGGGTGTCATAAGATGATGTGCTATACAAAACATTTTATCTCCGATCATAAACAATGAGACTCATTGACATGTTGAAAAACATGAACCTAACATCCATGGACATACTGAATTTTTGTTTGACTCTGGTATTGCCCTTGAACAACCTGTTTGCTGGAATGGTTAATTCTAATTTGTAGAACAACGGAAATGGATGTTCCATTGTCTATGACTTATTCTCTTGAATAGGTGTAATCAATTTGATTGCTTTAAGACAGACATGTGATAAGCTTACTGTTAAGATAATGCACATCCAATCACTTAAGTAGTCACATCAGTAGTCCAAATCCTAACAAAAAATATTTTCATTTTCTCAATGACAGCCTCTTTTCATTAGTTTCAAATTGCTTTCAATATTAATTGTGCCTACTTTAAAAAGAAAAAAAAAAAAATGGTAGCCCATGTATTATTCAATGACTTAAACTTTGTCCAGTTTCATTCTTTACCAAACCACACAAGAGTAAAAAAAAAAAAAACCCATAATTTCTTTTTCTATATGTCTCGTTCTCTGATGAAGCTTTAATAAAAGTGAAACATGTTAGATTTATAAACGTTTCCTATTTGTTCTTTATCTTATTCTGTCAGATTCCAATCCATATATATATATATAATATATATATATATATATATATATATACACCAATTGACATTTCTACTGCTTCACTTGATAATGTAGTTGTATAGTTAAAAACTTTCACAACATAACTTTGGTATGAATTAACCTTTTGATAAAAAAACAGCATTTTATCCTCATTTTTACCAGTGTCTATAAAATCCAAGATGTATACAATATATGGTACACTTGATGTGGTTGTAATGGGGGGATGAAAAATAAATTGGATTCCTGTGGACAATTTTTTTTTTTTTTTTTTTTTTCATTAAGTATTTTCAAACAACTTATCACCTGCAATTTTCAAACTATTTGTTAATTATCTTTATTTTAGTTCCTTTACTGTTTTCTCTTTCTGTCAATATGAAGAATGCAAAAGACTTATTGCCTATTATCAACTTGAGTATAGTAATTGATCTTAAAACTCACTGACCATTTATAGACTTCCTTTGAATGGCAGGAAGTAATGTCAAGATAGAAACTAAGACTTTTCATTTAACACTGTGTATGAGATATGTTGGTGCGATGGGTAAATTGTCTCCATTTTATGTTTTTAATTTCATGCATATGCATCGATTGATTTTGACTGTACAATATAGTAAGGTTAGTTGGGCACTGTCTGTGAGAAAAAGAGCATTTTGATGCAATTCACTCTGCCCAAAAATTTGGAAATGACATGTATTGCTTGGTATTCATAACAGAAGCTCCGATAGGAACATTCCAGAGTGTTTGGGTGTCAATCTGAGGACAGTGTAGAGGTTTCAGAAAGAGTTGGATTATATATCTGCTCAACATCATTGTTTGGAGTGATCACTAGTGATGTTATGCCTCCATTCATCTTCCCACATGGACTCGCTCAACATGGAAACCTACATTAAGTACCTTGAAGGTAGTGTTGCCCTAGGTTAAAAGGGTGACAGATGGAAGACTGGCAACAGGACTCTGCACCATGCCACACAAGCAGAACCCAGTCATGGCTGTCAGATAATTTTTGTGACCACATCACCTCTTACATCTGATACCTAACTCCTCAGAGTGCAACCCCTTTGATTATTATGTGTGGGACACAGTTGAGAGACCAACAAAACTCCTTGTAACTCCAAAGATGAACTGAAGCCAAGGATTATGGCAGCATTCACCAATTAAACAAGGAGACTCTCCAGAAGATTTTCAGATTTTTCTGTCACCTGGTTGAAGCCAATGGCAATTTTTATTAAATAACACTGACATCTCATTTTTATTTTATTTTCACTTTTGCATAATTTAGACTACAGTCTATCCATTGCACCCTGTGTGTGTGTTTGTATATAAAGTGCAAAAATATCTTGTGGGAATTGTCTGATGTCTATTTCGTTAGAGGCTGCAAGGTACCGTTTTTTTTTTTCTTTTTTTTTCATTAGTCTTGCAGTACAAACTCAAGGGATTCAGGCTTTCAATTCAATGAACACATCTTGATTGACTGCCCAGATTGTTTTGATCTTCAATATGTGTCTTAAAAATGTTTAGTATCTGATTTTTTTTTTTTTTTTTAGCCAAGATATAATTTAGATCTGATATCTACTTTCTGGACATTACTTGTACTTTTTGCCTTTGTCCAAAAATTTTGATGCTTATAAATTCTTTTGGATTTGTCACTAATATCCTATTTATACAAAGGCATGCTGTAAAACGTAGTGTTGTTTATAACGTTATGTTTGTTTGTGTGGTTAATATCAGAAGCTGAATGTTTGTTCCTGTACACTTCTAAGCAAACCTGCCAATTTTCTTTTGGCATGATACCTACATTTCATGAAAGATTGTCAGAATCTATAAAATAGGGTGGTAAAAAATTTGCTTATCTAACCATTTTTGGAACAAAAAAAAAAAATCTTGGAGTTGACAAATGTTGCAAGACAAGAGATTTCTAGTAAAGATATGAGTTTTTAACACCCCAAAAGTTTTTCTTAGATTTAAGCATTTTCATTTTTAATTCTTAATTAGTATTTTTTTCATCTTTTGTTTTTATCACAACTTTTATCATAATCATTAGGTAACATGAATTGGAAAAAAAATAAGGCTTCAGCCAATTGACTTTTGTCTATCACCTTAATTCGTTTTGCTGTGACGGTCTCTTGCTAATAAAGCCACAAAAGCTTCACAAGCAAGCATCATTCAAGTAAACCATATAGCTATATGCTTCTGATTTCCAATATTCTGTTATGTTTTCTTACTTTAGCATTCCATCTAAAACTTTCACACATTAAGAATTATTACTATTTTGTGACTTTTATTTTGACATTGTATTTTTCTTGCTTCTTTATACTTCATAGTAATAAGATGTGATAGCCTGATATTTTCTGAATTTCTTAGATGGAGCATTATCCTTAATTTTTTACCCTTTTATCTTGTTTATACCTTGTAATAAGATGTAATAGCCTGAATTCTCTTCTTTCTAGATGAATTATCATTAATTTTTACCTTATTTCCTTTTTTCTTTCTTTCCCCCTCTGTGACTTTCATGTTATAAAAAGTATCATTTATTTTTGCTCCAAATCCTATTTCTAAAAAGACTGTACATTTAGCATTCTATAACCCTGATGAGGTCAGCCTCTTCATTCTAGTTGATTAGAATGAATGCCATAGAAAGGAAATGGTTGTAACAATTTGAGTTTATTCAGTAAAGTTTAATCTTGTGAAAATTTAAATGTCTCTTTTTCTGTCCTACAGAAAATGAGTGAGCCAATAAGTGGTGACACTATAAATGAAGATTATGTGTAACAGATAAACAGCTGTCAACCAGACTGAAAGACAAAAGTAGGCAAAATGAGGTGAACAAATAGGATTGAGACAACAGGTGTCAGTAGTTAAGTGGGTAAGCAAATTTAAAAAAGCATTGTTAGGTAACTATGGTGAACTTAGTAGGTTTTTTTTTTTTTTTTTTTGTGTGTGTGTGTGTGTGTGTGTATTGAACACTTGGTCTTTAAATGTATATAATTTGGAACTTTTTATTTCTGGTTTTAATTTTAAATTATGCTTTATAAATGTGAAAAAATACTACTCTCTTTTTAAACATGTCTGATAAATTACTAATGATTATGTTGGAATAATCTGATGATTGCAATAAAAAGCAGATGAAATAAAATAAATTTATCCTACCTTTGTCCCCAAATAATTGTTAGATTTGAAACCTACATTTGAAGCATCGATTTGAAATATAGATGAGACAGAGGTAGTAATTGACAAATCTTAACTGTATTTTTCACATTTATAAAATTAAGTCAACCAGTGCATATAAGCAGGTAAGGTTTTTTGTTCTCTACTACTGGGAGATTTAGTGTTATAATATTACCACTTGTTGAAACCTTAAGTATAATCAGTTAGTCAATTATGTGCGATACACACTTAGGTGATCATACATCTTTTTGAGACATGACAGATGAGGCAGATTTTTTCCTGCAGTAGGTTGCCATTCTTTCTTTAAGAACTCTGAACCTTCAGATTCCTTAAAATATCTGAGTATTTTAGCTTTTTTGAAATGGATTAAATCTGACACAGTTGTATTTTAAATTTTTGTTTAACCGTTATTTTCGATGGATACTCAATTTTGAGTAAAAGCTCTTTTCTT